TTTTTTTATATTTTTGGGGTTTTTTTGATCCTTGCTTTCTAGAGTTTCTTTTTGTAGGATCAGAAAGAAATTCTGATTTGCTGCTTCACCTCAGCCCTCCCTGGCCAGGCTGCTCCACTCCCTCCTCATGGAGCCAGAGCTGCAGATCTGTTCCTGTGCCTGCAAAAATCAGCTTTATCCCTGACATTCCTACCCAGCAAAACACTCTCCATCCTGGATTCTTCAGCCTGGGAGCACCATTCCCAACCTCTCCTGTTGCCAGCTCCTTGATGCCCCTGTAAATAGCAGCCACGAGCCTTCTGATGCTGTTGCAGCCCTTCATAAGAAGGATCTTTTATTTGCATGAATCATCCAGCAGCAACTTTAGTCCAAGTGGGAATGAAGAGCCAGATGTGTCAGAGAGGAGGAAGATGCTTTCCTTTCTCCTCCCCATGCCCACCCTGGCTCCAGCTGATCCTGTTCTACATCAGGATGAGCTGGTGGATGAGCTTTGCAGGTGGGAGGGGAAGGGTTTGTGCAGCTGTGGCCTCTAAGCCCTGAATGATCCTGCTTAAAGCTCCAGCCCTGGGGCTGGAAGCTCCCCTGGGGGCTCAGGCATGGGCAGAGGAGTGCTGGGTGGTCCCAGGTGAGGTGTCTGAGGTGCTTTGGGTCTTTCAACCCTCGTGGTGGTGTGGGAATGCTGTGCCACAGGGGGTCAAAGCACCCCTGGCTCATGCAGGACCATCTTGGGGTGTGTTATATGACCTGGGGGAGCAGGGGTGGCTGGGGTTGGAGGCACCTCTGAAAGGTCACCTGCTCCAGGCTGCCAGGGCTGTGTCCCAGAATTTGAACATCTCCGTGGGTGGAGACCCCTCGGGGTGACCTGGTCAGCGTGTGGCCACAGCCAGGGTGTGTTTTCTGCTCCCACCCCAGCCCTTGGCTGACAGGACCCTTCTCCTCTCTCCCAGGGCTCAGTGACACCTTCAACATCGACACCAAGAGGCCCAAAATCATCGCTGGCTCCAGGGAAGCCTATTTTGGCTACACGGTGCAGCAGCACGACATCGGGGGCCAGAAATGGTGAGTGAGCTCTGGGCAGGGGGGAATCCAAAACAACCCTCCCAACGCCCTGCCTGTCTCCTCCTGCTCCATCTGACCCCCACTTTGGGGTGGGAAGTGCTGTGGCTCCAGGGGAGACCGAGGTTTGCTCGTGGTGGTGCTGAGGGAAGCAGAGCCCAGAAACCCTTTTCCTTTCCAGAAGCAGAGTTTTGGGAGGGGATAGCGGGATATTTTGGTCGGGTTGTGCACGGAGGGGGCTGTCCTGGCTCCTGCCCATCTGCCTCCCGTGCACAGAGCTTTGCTCCAGGCAGGTTCCTCGGTCCTGGGAGCCCCTTGGACTCCGGCACTGCTGGAAACCCACCTGGGTTTTGGGTGGGGGCCATCCCGTTTTCTGGAGTTTCCATCAGAGCCTGGTCTGCAGAAGTGCTCAGCCCTGCCTGTGTCCATCAGGAACGTGAGATGAGTCTTGGGTGGGCCCTGCTCCAGTTTTGGGTTTCGAGGGGGTTTTTGCTGCTTGCCAGGGCGGATCCCCACGGGGGGGGGACCCTGCCCAGATGTTGGCAGAGCCCCTCGGGGCTCTCCAGCAGCACAGCTGGATGCTGTGGTGAGCAGGGCAGCTCCAAAGCCCATGAAATTCCCTGCACCCCCATTTCTGTGGGACCTGTTCCAGCATGGGTGGCAGCCAGGCTCGAGGCAGCAGGAAAACACAGAATTAATGCACGTGGATGCTCCTGGAATTCAGGAATCAAACCCGTGGTGCCTGTGCTGGTGTCTGGGGCTGGGTGTCATCCTCAAGCTGAGCTGCTGTTTCCATGTGCAGGAATTTTGGGGTCAGTTGTGGTCCCTCTCTCCGCTGGCTCTGAGCTCTGTTTGCTGCAAGGACCGTGTGCTTTTGCCAGATGGAATTTTGCATCCCGTTAAAAGGGTGATGCTGATGCTGCAGCCCCGGGGCTGGGGGGGCTCTGGTGCTCCCAGAGAGCCCTGCCAGGGACCAGGGGGCCTCTTGGGATCTTCTTCCTCCTCCCTGTCCGTGAACCTGTGCTATGGGACTGTTTCCCAACCCAGCTTACCCTTAGGAATCCAGAAACATCCGGATGGGAATATGGATATATGTGGATATTTACCCAAATAAATGCTTTTCTGGGGCTAAAGAATTTTAGGCAGCTGATGGCCAGAGTCACTGGAGCATAAACACGGCTGTGGAGCCGTTCCAGTAAATGAAACAAATCCCTGCAAGGTCCTGTGCTGGAGACCTGGGCAAGGAGCTGATGTTAGAGATGATGTTCCTCTTCCTGGCCTGAAGGTCTTCCATCCTCATCTCCCTCCTTGCAGTGCTGGAGCACATCTGGGTGTCACCAAGAGCCTGATTCTAAGGGAGTGGGGTGTCTCCAGCTGCTCCATGGGGTGTCTGGGAAGGTGGGATGGGTTCGTGCTCTCCAGGGCACTCTGATGCTTCGGGGCTCAGGAGCTCCTCGTGTGCAAAACGAACAAAATGTGAAATATTTTCCATCAGGAAGGGATCCAAAACCCCAAAACATTCGGTGGTATTTGCTCTGGCTCCTGCAAGAGGCTCCAGAGGTCCTGCCAGGTCGGGATGAGAGGATGTTCAGGGATCGTGGTTCTCGGAAGCAGATAAGGAACAGGAACCAAGTGTCTCTGCCACCACATTCCTCCTGCCTCTTCTCCTGGAGAACATCCCCTTTCCATATCTCATTTCATCCTAAACAGCCAAATCCCTGGGTGTGTCCCAGGCCAGGTTGGACGGGGCTTGGAGCATCCTGGGCTGGTGGGAGGTGTCCCTGCCCATGGCAGGGGGTGGGATGGGATGAGGTTTAAGGTCCCTTCCCACCCAAACCATGCCAGGATTTATGAGGGATCCTGTGCAATTCCCTCCCACCACCGCTGATGGGGTGGTCAAAGGCCAGTGATCAGTGAAGGGAGGATTTTTATCCCCTTTTTCCCAGCAGGACACTGGAGCAAAGACCAGCCCTGGCTTATTTTGTCTGTTCTCCCATTTCTCTTGCCGACATCAGGCAGGACACAGGTTTCCTTTGCTCTGGTTTTGGTTGCTCTGTATGAAAAAACAGCCTCTCCCTGCAGAGCAGGAGGGTGCAAATACACACACACAAACCCAGCACCATCCCCATCTGCAGCTGTGCAGCACACAGTGTCTGTGACACATGTGGACAGGATCAAAAAACGAAGCCCCTGTGACTCCCCCTGGTTGAAGGAGAAGTGAGGGAGCAGCCCCAAACCCAAAAACCTCCCCAGAACAAAGCAGGGACAGCGGGATAACAATGGGGC